CCAGCTGGCTGGCGTCATCGGCGTCGTTGTGCACTTGAAGTTGCTTGACGTGTCGATGGCGCAGAGCGTCGTACCGTCGAAAGAGAGATGCGTGAAGCCGGTGCCGACTTCGGTCCACGCGGATGTCGCCGCAGTAGTCGGCGCCGGGGTGTCCACGTCACCGCAGCCACCCCGCATGATGGGCGATGCGGCGGTGGCGACCGCCAGTGTCACAAGGAGCACGTATGCAAGCATCAAAGACAATTCAGAAATGAAGCCAACGATATTAGACGTCGCGATCCATTATCTGACCTCACGAGGCACCGCTGGTGTATCTCTCGAGGCCAGATAATCGTTCCAGATGAGCAAATCATCTGCAGAACGACAGACAATGCGACACACTCACTCTTAAACCATGGTGCGTCTACGCAATCAGTACGTGTGCCCTTGAGTGCGTACACGGGGAGCACACGGGTAGCCATCTCGATGGGGAATTCAATTTGAGGTTTATGCATCGCGCTATACTTGAGAGCCATGTCGCCTTCCCAGCTCCCATCTATTCATAAGCGACGCTTACGTCATAGTTTCGTACGCTTTCGTCATTGCCCCTCATCTTCGCCTAACGTTACCATCTTCGCGGCGTCCGTCTCGCATCCAGATTGCACATTTGCGAAGACGATATTTTCGTCATCACAAATCTGTGCGAATAAAAATTCGCACGATTTTCTATCCAGTTACGAACTGGATACGACATGGAAATGTAAAATGAAGGTGTTTTGGAGGTCTTCCAGGATCTCGTGAGGCCAGATAATCAATTCAGGTGAGCAAATCACCTACAGTACGACAGACAACACACACGGTGGTACACTCGAAAACCATGGTGCGTCTACGACAATTTACTCTCGAGTGCGCCAGGCACTCTAAGCTTAAGGTCAATTAGAGTAACTCTCGGCAGCGGCTTTTTGAAAAAATGGTCTATCAGAAGCTGTTCCAGCGCATCTCAATTTTTGCTTGTGAAAAGACCTGAGTTTTGGGGACGCATTTCAGCTCGATTTGGGGTCTCTGGCGTCGGTGCAGCACAAATGTTGCAAGTCAGAGTCAAATAAAAGCATGGATTTCATTGGCTAGATAGACAACGAACATTTATTGGTGAGCATCACTTGCTCCACGACGCCTCATCAAGCTGCCGTCGTGCTCACACTGTCGCTGCCGTCATACCTGGTAGGTGCACTGCACTCCGCACCGTAGCGCCACGAGCTGGACAAGCTTATCTCTGATGTGCGTCCGTGGGCCCGGCCGGATAGATCAGAATCAAGCATCGCATGACGGCTTGTACGGCGACGATGGCCGTCGTCGCGTTGACGGCGAACTACTGAGCATGACCCGCGCCAAGCGCCCGCCCATAACGATATCCGCAGTTGCTATCGTAGTTAAAGATCAAATCTATCTATGCTGATGCGTTCACCACCCCGCCTGAGGTAAAGCGCTCTTGGGCGGGCTGGCGTGTCGTCGCACCCTCGTCGCCACCGCCGCCTCCATGCTCATCGTCCTCCAAGTCGCCTGCCACTATGTATAAAACACTACGTATTATGACTGATTTATACAACGACTGGACTGGAACCCATTTAAACTTGGCACTACGTAGTATAGTGTAGTAAAAATGTGGTGACGTGCCGGTGCAACGTATACACTAGCCTTTGCAATGCGTTACCAGGAAGTCGCCGAGGACCATCGGCATGGCCAACGATCGATCTTGGCAGCTAGTACCGTAAGCGTCCATGAGTCGTCTTGTTGCGGCAACTGCCACCTTGATCTGAAACGGCCATGGCTACGGCGGTTGGCGCCGCCAAGGCCAAGACCAAAGGCAAGCGGCTGCTCCAGGAAGTCTTGAATGCCCATGGCGACATTGAAACCTCTGAGGAAAAGGCATCGGCGCTCGCCAACTGGAACAAGCGCAAGACCCTCGCACAGGCCAGCGGCGGTTGGCAATGGCGGTCTGGCGACTCGCCGTATCTGCTGCCGCAGCACAAGATCGACCCTTCCAAGGTCGCGATTGAAGTCGCGAGTTTAGTGCACATTGGAAAAGAAATGGACGCGTTCTTGGCCGCGGCGTCGCCGTCGAGCAAAGCCAAGCCCCCGCCCCCCCGCCCCCCAAAGTCTGCAGCTGGAGGCACGTGATACCTCTTTTCGACATTCTTGTCATTGTATGCCGTGTCTAGTCTCTTGCACAAAGGCAAACTCTACGTTTGCTCCAACGTTCTTCGCACGGAACCTGAGCTCGTGGGCCGCCGATGTCCGTGGCACGCCCCGACCTGCCGCGCCCCAACGCACGTCGAGCCATCGGCCAAAATCACAGTGCCCAACGACATGGCTCTCTGTCTTCCTTGCTATGCGGTAGCGCATGTCGGGCAACCCAAGCTGCAGCAGACACCAGTTGTTATTGACATTCTCCGACTGCCCGGCGTTCGCATCACGGACGCGCAGACCGTCGTCGATCAGTCGGCCAACGCCACGAATGCGGCTACAAAGGCGATTGGCGTCGTATATAG